GCTCGACCGGCGCGTCGCCACGGCGGGCCGCGAGGCCGACGCCGTGCTGGGGCTGAGCGCGGCCCGGCTGCGGGACAGGGAGGAGAGGGAGCGGAGGGCGGTCGGGGCGGGCGGGGTGAGTGTCATGGAGGTGTTGAGGAGTTTGGGGAGGATTTTGCCTCTTGAGGGGGGTTGAGATTATGTCTGGGAGGGGGGGTTCTGTGTGTGTAGGTTTTCTGCGTACCGGAGTAGGGGGTAGGATGGTGGGTGGATGGATGGTTGGGACGACGTGATGATATTTGGGCTGTTTTTATCGATCGCGTTCTGTGTACTTCTCGGTTCGCCTCGTTGTTGAATTCGTGGCTGGCGGTGGCATAGCGGTGTCTTTACACTGGCGGCGTTCTTTTCTGAAGGGGACGGGGACGGGTTGGACAGGACGGCATTCTGAAAGAGAAGGGTTGGATCGCGGGAAGATGATGTGTGTGGACGCTTTTCCAAACCCAGCTATACCCGAGTAAGGAGACTGAGAATGAACGAGACCTGATCAAACCGTCTATTTGCTGTCCATTTGCCCAACACCCACATATTGCTTTGTTTACTACAACAATCACGCATGATTGTATTGTACAGTCCATGTAGCATATCCCCTCCATTCCCTTATCCGCATCCTCGACAAACTCCGTCCACCTCAACCACGCTCTACCGCATTCCTTTACCAGCCGTCGTATCACGACGCAACGACTCGGGTCAAAAAGAAAGGGAGGCACTCTTCCTCGCCATGTCCTCTCACCCTCATCCATCACCCAGCAGGGCAAGACAACACCACTCTCCTTTTAACACCTCTCATTCCTCCCTTATTCAAAGCCTGTACTCCTCCAGCGAAGGCATGAAGCCCATCCCGCCCCGCCCCTCACCCCGCCGCGCGGCGACGTGTGCCCGCAGCAGCCGTAGCACCTCGCTGCCCCGCCACCGCGCCGGCACGGGCCGGTAGGCCGGCTTGAAGGTGCCGACCGTCTGGGCCCACTCGCCTGCTGCTGGCCGCGGGGACTGTGACTGTTGTTGTGGTTGTAATTGTTGTTGTGTGCCGGCTGCTTCTTGGTATTGGTCTTGGTCGGGGAGTTGCGTCTGTTTCGGTTGCTGCCGAGATTGTGATTGTTGTGATTGTTGTTGTTGCTGGGTAGCAGTAGTAGCAGAGGGGTCCTCGTCCTGCGTCGCCCAGTAGTAAATATCCCAATCGTTCTCGTCGAGGAAGAGGTCGTACTCGGCCAGCTGGGCCGGGGTCATGGTGGCGAGGTGGGCCGAGGCGAAGGTCGAGAGGAGGAGGTCGGACTCGAGGGTGCCGCGCTTGCGGGATTGGTCTGGTTTTGTTGTTGAGTTGTTAGTTTCTATTATTATGATTTCTGTCTATTGATCCGCGGGTGTCGTTCTCGTTGTGGAAAACACAAGGAGTGGTGGGTGAGGAAGGGCCGGGGAGCGAAACGTACACAGCAGACGGGCGCGCATCGTCGCGGGGTCTTCGCCGACGCGGCGGAGGGGCTCAACCTTGAAGCTCGCGCCCTGCAGTTCGCCTACGTCGAGGTCGCGCGGCGACTGCTGGGAGGACGCGAAGCGCTTCGGGGCCAGGCGGAGGACCGACCCGAGGGGAGCGCGGGCCCGGCTGATGGCCCGCGTGACTGGGCGAAGAGAGGTCATCTTTCGTAGGTTTTGGGAAATATGTCGAGGTTGAAGAGATTTGGTGTTTACCAGTGAAACTGGAGGTGATGGGGGAGGCCTGTCCTATGGATGGAGATGGAGGTGTAGGAAGGAAAATCGTTTGCCACGGCGCCGATTGCCCGGTTTCCTTGGCATGATGATATCCGGCTGGGCCGAGGCCGAAGCCTGTGGAGCCCCGGCTGCCGGGTCTCGGCGGGCCGGGCATCCTCGTTACATCTGACGGCAGAGTGCAGGCGGTACGAAGTACTCCCACGGACAAACGAAGACACTCCGGATCATGATAGATATCCAGATAGTCATCCTGCGAGTGATCTACCCAGATGTCCAGTCGCCCCTTTTCCATTCCCAGCCCACCATGTACAGTACAGATCATAATTCCAATGCCCGCCTGCGTAACAGTTCGTGTAGCGCCTCCGCCCTGTAAAAAACAGTCTCTTGCCTGCCTGCCCATTAAATAAGATGCTTGGACCTGAAGTACGCCCGCAGGTACATAATCTGCCACGCCCATAGGGCAATCAGCAGGAAGGTGGTGCAGAAGCCGAACCACTTGACGCGCGTGTTGGTGCTCTCGTTGGTGTCGCGCAGTTTTTGCTCGCGCGACCGCAGGTAGTCCATTTCGGTGACCACCTCGGCCACCATCTCCTCAATGCGCCGCAGCTCCGTCTCGACGGGCTTCAGCTTCTCGGTCGCCTGGATGGCCGACCAGTCCTTAGCGTCGGCGCCAATGTCGATGTCTAGCTCGATGTGCCGGTACGGGTGTTCGACATAGCGGGCTGTCTTTTGTTAGCGATCGATCGAGGGACGGTTGGGCGAGACAGGGGAAAGGCGGCACGCACAGCCAGTCAGGATGTTCTCAAAGCACACGTCGAAGGGAGCGTCGGCATGCGAGGTGAAGACGGTGCGCTGCTCGCCGGCAATGTCCCTGGGCTTGCCGTACTCGTTCCCTATCGCGTCCGAGATCTGCCCGAGTCAGTCCACGTTTTTTGTGTTCGAGACAAGGGACAGCAGCGCAGCACGTACATGCATATTCAGCTGCATGCCGTCGCCCTTGTGGCCGTCGACGATGGCGGTGACGACGACGAGCATGTCCTTGGAGACAAAGTTGCGGATGCATCGCCGCGAGTGCTTGTCGTGCCCGCTGCCCGCCTGCATGTCGAACTTGAGCGCCTGCGAGCCGACTGCCAGCAGCAGCACCAGGCTGCAGACTTGCTGCAGCAGTGACGGTAGACGAGCCATGCTGGTGTCGTGTGTGGGGGGATGATCGTGTGATGGCAGAGATCAAAGCTTCGGCTCCCCAACTTTCGCGGCAACAGCTGAGAACGGCCAGCTGTCGCTTGCCCCTGGCGGGTGTGGGGCGCTGCGCAATTGGGCAGCCACTCAGAGGCCATGAAAGCTTTTGGGAGTTGCAGCCTTGCAGCCCCACCCGCAACTTTCGCGTCAAGCTGCCAGCCTTGCGATCTTCGGCCTCTCATTTGTTTCGCGCCTCTTCACATAACATCAAAATCGCAGCGCAAAACACAAACCACCACACCCTCACGCATCCCCCAAATTCGGCGATTGCGATAGTATTCGCAACATAAGACCGCCAAGATGCCAAAGTGTAAGCCTTCCCCCCAATGCGCAACTCTTCCAGCACACGTCTAACCTCGTCCCAGTCTTCTGCGACTACTGCGATGTCTACCTCACGCACGACTCCATGAGCGTGCGCAAAGCCCATAACAGCGGCCGCAACCACCTGCGCAACGTAGTCGACTACTACCAACGTAACCCTCTCCCCTGCCCTCCCTCCTCCCCCTTTCTCTCCCCCACCGAACCTCACTAACCTCTTCCCCTTCCTCCCCAGAAATCGGCCACGAAAAAGCCCAATCCGTCATCGACTCCATCACCTCCTCCTACGCCGCCGAAGGCCAAGCCCACGCCAACCCGATGCTCCCGCACAACCAGCCCGGCGGCGGCAGCGCCTTCGGCCTCGGACCCAGCGGCATGCCGTCCATGCCGCCCCCGATGCCCGGCATGCCCCACCTCCCCGGGATGCCCTTCCCCCCGCCAGCCGGCATGCCGCCCCCGCCGTTCCCCATACCCGGCATGCCCGGCATGCCGCCGCCTCCATTTCCCGGTGCAGCGGCGGGGGGAGCAGCGCCCGGTAGTGGCGGTCCCGGTGCGGGTGCGGGTGCGCCGTCTGCGTTCCCCTTCCCGCCTCCGCCATTCCCCGGCGCGTCCGGGAGTCCCGCCGGCGGCTCGCCGCCGTTCCCTCTCCCGGGGTTTCCTGCGCCCCCCGGCGGCGCTGGAGGACGGGGCGGAGCGCCGCCTCCCTTCCCTGGCGCGTTCCCGCCGCCGGGCGCGCCTGGTGGGCTGCCGTTCCCTCCGCCTCCGGGCGGCGGTGCGTTTCCTGTTTTTCCGCCTCCGCATGGTGGGTTTCCTGGGGAGAAGCGGTAATGAAAGGGGGGAGCGAAGGCGGGAGATATGGATTGTGGGACTGAGGACTTGATTGGTGGGGAGGGGGTTGATTGAGGGTTTGACGCAATAGCTATTGTAGCATCATCTGGTCACTGGAAGGACGGCAAAATGTGATGGCGTAATGGCGTTTGGGAGACAGCTGGAGTCAGCTAGCTAATTGCTTAGACGAGCGAGGCAAGACAAACAAAGGTTCGCCAAATATCTTTCGTCACCGGGCAAAAACTTCGTCCCTTCATTCTCGCCAGTGGCTTTAGATATGGGCGGTTTCACAACGACCAGAGCAAAATCAGCACCACCTTTCTCGCCCCATGAGCCCCCTCCATCACAAGAATGGACATTTACTCCGCACGGATACCATGTATCAAGAAGAGGAGGGGCTTCGGGAAAGGCTTAATTAACTGTGACTATGTATTCGGGTGCCAATTTTGCGCAAAGATTAATGACATGGTTGCTTGATCAAGACTTTTTGAAGTGGCGCAGATAATCAAGTTCCACCTTACATTGTCACAGTATCTCGCACACTCGGAATATACTCTTAATTGTAGAACATAATCACTAGTAACTAGTAGCTACAAACATTATAATCTAGAGAACAAAGGGTTCTTGACCTATGACTCCATAGATGCAATTGGTAAGCTTTTGCCTGAGTAACTGTGTTTCGGGGAAAGGGCGTGCGTGAGAATCATACCTCGAGTTTAGGCCTCGAAAAAAGTGGCTTGAGGTAGTAATGCTTTGGGAACAGTGTTAAACCTCCTACCTCCCCGGCCTTTTATTACATACAGATTGTCCATTGAAGAAGAAGCTATCAAATGTTAACACGAAGGAGTGAAATTTGACAAAAGAAAAGGGAATGCCCAGTAACAGGATTGAACTGTTGACCTTCGCATGACTTGATATAACAGTGATGCTATATTAGTACGACGCTCTAACCAGCTGAGCTAACCGGGCTATTTGTTGTTGTAATGTTTAGCTGCTTTTTTATTTATAGAGCTATTAATTTTGGCTCACTTGTGTCGCTTCTGCCGCGGATCTGAGATCCAACCTCCTGCCCTCCCTCCGCATGATCCATTGAGCCTCAATTCCACCCGCGCCCTTCACCAACTTCAGCTCAACGGGCGGATCTATTCCCGAATGTTGTTCCCGAGGACTCTAGGTGTAGTTTACGTTCATTTCTCGTCACTCAAAAAACAATAACCGTACGTACCACGCTGGTCGAAACACAACAAGGCGTCCCTTTCCACCGTGATAGTATCATTTACTAGAATAAGAATAACGAAAAGCCTTGTTGGTTCTACTCAGACACTCCCCGCTCGTCATCACTCTTGACTGACATATATCATGACATCCAACCAGCCAGCTCTATCCATTCTCTCCATCCATGAACCCAGCAGCCGTCATCCATGAGCCATCGTGTCTCAACCAAGATCTAGCCCGTATACCCCAGCCCAGGACAACCAAGAAAGTCGCCCATGAAGTCGTGCAATCTCATAACCTCACCCCTCTGGCCAATGCTGTGCAACCATAACACAACGAACGCCATTGCTCAAGCACAGGCTGCTGAACCCGCCAGCGAAAGACCAGAACGACACGCCCTGCATGATCGTCATGAAATGAGCAAGACAAGAGAAACAACAGAGAGAAAACAGGAACAGGGGAAAAGGGGTTTCAAAGCAAGACAGAAAAAGGATCAAGAGTCATCACATCATGGCTTCTCATCCCTCATATAATAGTCCCACGCACCCATCATGCCCCTTCAGTCCTCAATCAAAACCCCTCCATTCCAGCGACAAGAGAACCAAACCCTGGAAACGCCCAAATCACCACCACACTCAACCAATCCCCCATCAAAGGTAGCCAGTTCAGGTACCTTGACTTGACCCAGTACCTATGCAAGGCAAGACTGACAAACTTCAAACCCCCAAACCCCGTCTCCTCCTCTGCACCTGCTGCGCACTGACATACGCCGCATCCGCGTCCGCACCCGCAGTCATGCCACGACCCCCATGCTGATCCCGCCACGAATTCCTCCTGATCACGTCCCCCACGCCGTCCCTGACCTCCCTGGGCGCGCTGATCATGCCCCTCAGCTCCTGCGTCCTCTTCTCCCGCCGCCGCTCGCTCAGCCGCCGCGCTATGTTGATCCTGTCGCCTAGCGCGGGCAAGGACCAACCACCACCTCCACCTCCACCTCCTCCTGTCTCTTTGAAGGTTGATGCGGGTGCGGGTGCGGGTGCGGGTGCGGGTGCAGGGTACGATGATGGAGAAGACGATGACGACGCAGCAGCAGCCTTGTCCATGCCCATGCTATGACTGTGATCGTGACCTCCCCTCATTGACGACCTCGCTCTCAGGCTCAGCGACCTCCACAGCCTAGAAATGGGCCTGGCCCTGTCTCCATTGACATACCGCTCCCTGGCTCCGCCACCACCACCCGCGCTACCATTCTTCCCAGTATACCCCGACGCCGACGCCGGATCCGGCCTCATCCTCGTCGTCAGCGACTCCATACTCCTCCGGAACTTCATAACCCTCAGATTCCCGCTCGGCGTGCGGCGAATCGTCCTGCGGTCCGTAACATCCTGCGCATCGGTGGCAGGGTAGGATTGTTGTTGCTGCTGTTGCTGCTGTTGCTGCTGCTGCGGGTCATGCCCATACTCATCACCACCATCATCATCATCATCATCATCGCCATCGCCGCGCACTGGCAATATGGCAAACGTGCGCTTAAATCGGGCACTAAGACTACGACCACGGCTGTGCCGTCGTGTTCCCGGGGTGGCAGCCAGCCACGACCTGGCGGGGCGATTGTCGATGGGCGGGTAGCGATACGTCCTGTCCTCGTCATCGTGGTACTCGCCATCATCCTCATCTTCGTAATCGTCTCCGTCGGAAGAGCAACTCTCGTCGTCGTCGTCGTCGTCGTCACCCGTGTAGGCAGGTCGCCAGAACGGGTGGAGCCTGGTCTCGTCCGGGGGCACGTCGTCCGCCGTCGAGTGCCGCTTGAGCCTGTGTCTGTCTGGCCAATCGTCGTCGTCGTCTTGGCGGCGTCGGATGTTCCTCGAGAGGGAGAAGGTCCGGGTAAGGAAGCCCACGGGGCGAGAGGGGGACGGGCCGTACTCGGTCGTCCGGCGTGTGAGCGCCTGTCTGAGCAGCGACATGCTCCGTTTGGGCTTCTCTGCGGTCATCTCGTAGTAATTCCCGAGCCGTTTTTGTTTCTCTACCGTGGGCGTTAAGCCCGATGGCGTGGCTGGGATGAAGTTGATGGCTGGGGGTTTGGGGGGGGCTCTTGGGTTCCTCAGAGGTGAGTCGACGTCGTCCACGGAGAATTGCTGGGGCGGCGTTGCGGGAACGTCTCCGTTTGCGTCCGTCGTCTTGACCAACGGAACATCCGGGGCAGAGCTCCTTTGCTCCTCTATGGAGGAGCTTTCAGACGGTTTGGCGGAGTGGTTGACCAGGACCACGGATTTGTTCTGGTGCGGGTAGATGTTCACAGCCATGGCCTCGGAAACCTCAGCATGCGACGTACCAGTCGTCTCAACAGATGCAACGGACAGAGGTGTGTTCTGCACAGACAAGAAGCGGTCACCGTCCCGATCAATGCTGAGGCCACCATCCACCCCGTTGGTATCGTGCAAATCCCGGCTAGCTTGAGCCGATCTCCCGCGATGCTCGCGCTGCTTCTCCAGCGGAGCGTGTTCTACTGACACAGTGGGCACCGTACGCTCAATTTGGCCGTTTGGAGGCGGGTCCTCTGGTCCTCTCCGATTCAGCAGCTGGCCATCATCGATTGACCGAGATTGGTTTTGCAGCTTATCGAGCTCCTGGCTAGCCTTCTGCAGCGCGAGATGCGCCTGCTGGGCCTGGAACACGTTGTGAGCCTGTAGGCTCTCCGTCGTGAGGGAAGCTGTCCTCGAAGCGTTCCTGCTGGTTGGCGCCGAAAGAGACGATGAACGAGCAGGGATAGCAGGGGGGAAGTCCATTGTCCGCTCGTCACCCGCACGGGACCCGTCCGACTCGGAAAGAGCCCTGCTCCGTCTAGCGGGCCGTCCGAACACGGGAACATGCTCTCCGCTTCTCGACGGCGGAGATATGGGAATCGACCGGAGACTCTGGGACCTCCGACTGCTTGTCGAGCGTAAAGACGGCGATTTGCTAGTCGACTTGACAGAGGATCGGCGTTCAGGGATCACGACAACTGGGACACCGCCGCTCTTCCACACAGAGCGGCGAGCTTTCCGGCTCGAGATGGAATTGGTGCTGGCAGCTGAGGCGTAGCTGTCACGCACGGCTTCGTCCGCTTTCGCGGCGGCAACCTCGTGGCGTTGGCGCCGGTTATCGACAGGTGGTGAGACGGACGTGGGCGCCGAAGTGACTGTGGAGATTTCCGAACTGGAATCCCGCAACGCGCTTTGCTTCCTGACGTGCCGGAGAGTTTTGTGTCTCTGGGGCGCGGTCCCCACCAACAATGCCTCGACAACGGTTGAGGCATTTGACTTGGTGGACATGACCGAAGCACGCCTGACATCGACGCTGCTGGAGGATTCCAAGTTGAACGCCACAGGCCTGGTTGTGTATTGATCCGAGACAACTCTACGGGAAGGGTAAACGATTGGGCTTTCCTCGAGTGACATGGAGCGGAGCGCTCGGGTGGCGTTGGTTGGCGACACGGGCTTGTCGTCGACGACTTCTTGGTTGGGGGCCTCCTTTGGGCGTGTTTGCCGCCGCCTTCGGATGGTCACATTCCTCATGAGATCGCGGTCCCACTCGCCTATCCTCTTGGAGCCCGCTTGCCCATTCGTCAGTTTTCCGTCAAACTTGTTGACTTCTGCCGCTCTCCCGGATGTGGCTTTATCGGTAGGGCTTGATTCGAGCCCAAGGCCCAGGCCTACCGGGTGGGAGGCGCTCCTCGTCTCCCTGCCGACCTGCCGAACGGTGCTCTGCGAGCTTCCAGCCGAGGGCAGTGCGGGGCGCAGCGTCGACCGTCCATCGTCGTCATCAGACGAGCAAGGGTTCTCGGGCGCAGTCCGAAACGAATCTGCCCTGGAGTCGGTTGTGACTTTGGAGGCGTTCCGCTCGCTTAATGGCGGGCGGCGCTGGGCTTGACCCGCGGCAGGGCCTGGAGGGGACCCGTCGGGAGTCAGGTTCGGAGTAGGCGGTGTCTGTTGGTTGGTAGGAGTCACCGGGGGACGGGAGTCGACATTGTCTGTGCTGCTCGGAGGGGTGTTCGCGTCTCTCAAAGTCGATGACTCTGCAGGGTGACTTGCCGAGGATGTCCGCGAGTGTGTCGGCGGCGTGGGCGGCGGTTCTGGGCCTCGTCCCACTCTGTTCGGTCGCTGGCGACTGGGCGGAATCGGGGCAGGTGGTCGGGCGCTTCGCGGCACGACGGCTTCGCTCCCGAGACCATGGCTCGACAGAGTAGATCGTTGCGGCTCATCCTTCCTTGGACGTGGAAGCACCTTGTGCTTCTTGAACATGCGCGTATGTCCCTCGGCACCGTCCGCATCCAACCCGAGGGCTTCGTTGGCGTGCGACGTGCCCATATTGGGCAGTGAAATCCTGAAGTCGCCGCGAACCGTCATTTGAGACCGACGAGTCTGCTCTCTTCTATGCTGAAGAAGGGATGGGGAAGGAGATTCGGCGCATGTTGCGAGGTGGTCGGATGCGTGACAATAGCAGAAGCTCGTTTGGACTGTGCTAGGCTGGCTGCGGTGCGGTTTCCGCCCGTGTTCAACGTTGAGTGGTACGGAGTAGCGTCAAACACAGAGTCGGGACCGGAACACGTTCGAAAGCAGAGCCGCAGGCTATCGAGAGATCGACAAGTGGCAGGTGGACGCTGAGTGGTTGATGTTGTGTTCCGATGCGACGAAGGCTGGCACAAGAAGTGAGTGGCAGGGGCCGTCTGGCGTGGCAGGACTGGCGGGGACAAGATGACGGGGCCCTCCTCTGAG